GAGAGGATGAGGAAAGGGTTGGCGTAACGAAGCCAGACGGGCCCTAGTCCCTTTATAAAGGCAATAAATATCAAACACCTCCTCCTCGACCTTGAAACCTGCCTATTCGTAAGGAATCATGCCAACCGGATGGTGAGAGTAAACCTTGGCTAGAGTTTCAAGATAAGTAAGTTTGAGCGTCTCAAAACTCTTTGTAAGAAGAGTGAGCTCCTCTTCCTTAGTCTTGAGGGAAATGGATAGAAGCTCAAAATCCTTAGGGAGACAAGCATGAGATTCCATAAGCTTACTTTTATCATTCATCAACTCCTTGCAAGAGTTCTTGGCCTTTTTCAAGGAGGCAAGTTTTTTGCATGAACATCAATGTTTGCACCAATTTTTAGGCATAGTTCATCATTTCGTGCTTCCTCATATTGGACTTTCCGCTCAAGGATTTCATACTTTTCATTTTCCTTGTTGACGAGGGTTTTGAGTTCCTTAATGGTAATGGTGTGCTTACTCACCATCTCCATAAGCATACGAAACATAGTGAGCTTCTTTCCTTTAAGGGAGCACGTGAACTTATTTAGTTTAGCAAGCATAGGATCATCTAAATCATCATCATCATCACAATTATCCTCCGCATCAAGATACTCATCACAAGGAGTAGACGGAGTGAAAAGAGGAGGATTTGAACGTGGGGTTACCTTGACCTTGTCAGGAGAGTTTTGGTCCTCTCCTTCTTCTACCACAGGTAGGGTGTGTGTGCGCGCGCGTGCGTTCATAATGTGAGTGTATACGCGTATATATGAGCGCTTGTGTGTGTATTGTATTAAAAAAAACCTTATCGCCCCAAGTTTGTACGCAATAAATTTCTATATGGTCGCGATGTGTACAGGAAGCTCCGAGAGCAGCTAGTTAACGAGCGCTCCTTCGGGAGCCTCGCAACGATCAGCGCCACTTAGCGCGCTCTCAGTCATTCGTCACGTGTCGCGCTTTGGGCGCTCCCTCCGGATTTTGTTTTTATTTTTTCGCACGCATTTTCGGCTTTTCAAACGGTTTTTTTCTATTTTTTGACGTTTTGGTTTTCCACCGGTCTTCCTTAGCTTTTTGATAAAAAAAATTGAAAAAAAAATTGCGCGAAAAAACATGTTTTTTTCCTTTCCCGAGAGTTACGGTTTTGCTTCCGTGTGAGAAACGGTTTTGCTTCCGCAAGAGTCACGGTCGTGCCTCTCGGAAACGAAAAAAACGCGTTTTCTATTTTTCTTTCTTTCGCGAGAGTCACAGTTTTGCTTCCGCGAGAGGCACGGGTGTGCTTTCGCGAGAGTCACGGCCGTGCCTCTCGAAAACAAAAAAAACACGTTTTCTGTTTTTTTTCCTTTCGCGAGAGTCACGGTTTTGTTTCTCCGAGAGGCACGGTTATGCTTTAGCGAGAGTCGCGGCCGTGCCTCTCGGAAACCGGAAAAAAAACACGTTTTCTTTTTTTTCTTTCGTGAGAGTCACGGTTTTGCTTCCGCGAGAGGCACGGTTGTGCTTTCGCGAGAGTCACGGTCGTGCCTCTCAGAAACGAAAAAAACACCTTTTCTGTTTTTTCCTTTCATGAGAGTCACGATTTTGCTTCTACGAGAGGCACGGTTGTGCTTTCGCGAGAGTCACGGTCGTGCCTCCTCGAAAACGAAAAAAACGTATTTTCTCTTTTTTTCCTTTTGCGGGAGTCAAGGATTTCCTTCCGCGAGAATCACGGTTGTGATTTCGTGAGAGGCATGGGCGTGCCTCTTTCGAAAAGGGAAAAAACTCGTGCTTCCGGTTCGGTTTTTTCGTTCTTCGTTTTTTCGTAAAAAAAAGTTCGTCAAAACCAAGAACATGGGATCTAGTTTTGAAGATCTCGACGCGAGGAATCCAACGGTGAAAGCGATTCAAGATTTGGACGCATGGTTTGAGAGATAAAACATTTTGAATAAACGGATCTAGAAAAAAGGAAAAACTCCTAGGTCGCGACAAGTGGCGCGCTGCATGTGCGCCACTGGCCGCAACCAGGGGAGTTGGAGTGATCTTTGCAACAAGTACTCATCAACTAGTGATTTCGGTCTGTATCGACTGTTATGGCGCTTTTTGCTGCTTCAGTCTGTATTTGAGTGTTGAACTAGCAAAAGAGCCCGTGCGTTGCAACGGGATAACAAAATTATGTTTTGTCACTTATCACAATTGCTCTGTCTCGTCACTGTCATCAACCTATTCATCCTTCTGCCCTTTTGCAAGTTTTATTATGTACACGGCCTTGTGGTTTCCATCGTCATACTGAGCAAATGCCAGTTAGAAAGGAGAGGCGGAGGTCAAGGCCTACTCTGAGTGTCATCTTAATAATTGGAGCCTCAATATGTTTTACTTTCCTTGTCAGCACAATTAATGATTCTGATTTGCTTGTATCTGGGTTATATAACCAAATGCTCCTCGTGGAGTTAGTGTCCACATCCCTTGATGGTAATCATTATAGCTGCAATAGAAGGCTGTGATGTTGCATCGAATATATTTGTGTGGGATCATGCACATGGAAAATTTTGGTACCAATGACGATGAAGGGTAAAAAAGATGTAGGTTACCTACAAATATATTCAACTTGAAAAATAGCGCTTCCTCTATAAAGAGTTATAAGAGCGTTTAATTCTTTACAGAGGGAGTACGTGTCAAATAATGTACAGTAGAAAGCATCTACGTAGATTTTGCGACATGCGTTACTGCAGGTGTTGTTGCAGTTGATGGTCAGTTGGACAACAGGCAAAGGCATGTACATCAGCTTGAGCTCTGAGTCAAAGAAGATATGTGAGTGACCGATTCGACATTGATGACCGTGTCGGCCTCCCAGCGAGAGACTTGCTTATCCTATGAGCTCCCACTCGAGGGAAGCGAGGCATGCGGAGCCAGCCTGGTTCCCAACATCTACAAGCTCCCCACCTCGTTGTAAACTTGTAGACTATGCCAAATCACAAGTATGTTTAGGGCAATCAAAAGTTGCGGTAGCAGTACTTCTTCTCCCGGTCTCTCAATGGAGTGCATACACGTATAAATGGTATGGTCAATCACAAGATGGCCAACTCCCCTACACTAATATGTGCATACGATGTGATCATCGAGGGTCCATTATACCATTGATGATTGATTGATGGAAGCAGCGGCTGAAGCGATCAATATAGTGGTACTAATGTACCTGGTCATGACGTCTAGATCGTTGCGTCCGCGCTCGAGGGCTGCTACTGATGGCGGCGACGGCTTTGCTGAGGCGAGCCTATTTTTTCAGGAACCGTGTTGGTCCTGATATTTTTATACATGTATATATCTAGAGTCCTGTGTCCACGTTCAACAGATTCATATGGAATATCAAAGGGAGATGAGCAAAAAAACTGTGTGTATTGTTTGTACCTGACTCGAACGAATGTGGCACAAAAAATTAGGTCGACGAAAGGATTTTTTTAGGTATGTATGTATATTTAAAATGTATACACATTTTTCTCAGTTTTTTTTCATATATAACATGTTATATTTTGAGTTAGCATTTGAAAGATAAATATTTCAAAGACCATTTTAATCTGTTAGGCCTAAAAATTTAGGCCGACGAAAGGATTTTTTAGATATATATGTATGTATATTTAAAACTTATACACATTTTCTCAGGGTTTTTTTCATATATAACATGTTATATTCTGAGGTAGTGTTTTTTTCTCAGGTTTTATTGTCATGTTATATTTTGAGTTAGTGTTTGAAAGATAATTTTTTTTAAAGACCATTTCATATATAACATGTTATATTTTGAGTTAGTGTTTGAAAGATAAATATTTTGAGACCATTTTAATATGTCAGGAAAAAGAAACAAAAAAGTTGAAAAAGATGAGAGAGCCAGGGCTCGGTCCAGCCAATGCGCTATGGGAGTCCTTATGCTACTTTTTGGACACCGCCCGTAGATAAACCAGAGGCGAATGCCGCGAGAAAAAAAAACTGAATCGTTTTTCCTCACTTATAGGTGGCATTGGTGGGTAATATTTAGCAACTTTAGGGGCAAATTAGATGGCGTACCATCAGAAGCAATAGATGCTTTATTATTAGGGACTATGGGCGTGTTGTTGAGAACTAATTCATGGTCGAAGACATGCGGATCAGCACTGTCCTCGTCTTCCTGATGAGCACTGGTCGAACTGTTGCTTCCTCTGTTGTCAGCCACACACACCGCCGTTGTCACCTATGTGTCTACCACGACCCTCCCGCACATTCTTCTCTTCGTCATGGCCAGCCAAGGCGCACCGTCGTCTTCCTGCTCAACCGTCATCTGTGTCACCATGACAGGCGAAGGAATTCAAGGATAAAAGAGTGTTTTTGCTTTGTATGACCCTATCCTGCCCTCGGCCCCATGCGATGGCCGATCACTGATGATCGAAAGACAGACGAGGTTTAGCTTCTCATTATTTCCTTATTTCGCTGATGAGCACGCATGTAACACCAATTGTACTTTTGGCCCCAACAGCTATCCACACCACTCGACCCAACACTCGCCCGCTGAGGCACAACCTGGGGTTAGTGCACGGAGCTCTTCCAAAGGGAGTTGGAGTTTGGCATGCAAGGTGCGTCCAAGCCCCTCACCAGTTCTGTGAGTCACGGCTTACAAAGCAGTCTGGCTTTGAAATTTTCCCCGTTTCCTTCATTGCTTGGGGAAGGGGACTATTTAGGCTCAAGGGAGAGCGAGGATAAGAACGCTATTATCGGGCGTTTACCTGAAGATGAAATCTCATACATATAGCTGAGCAAAAATCGCTATCGGTCTGTTAAGCAAACCCGCATGGCAAAACCCCAAATTACAAAATAGAGCTAACTGCAAGTAAAATCCACCTTTCTCAATGTTACACATGATGAGTTCGAGCAAGCGTGCTGTCAAATCTCAAATTATTCAATGATGCGATCATTCCTTGACCAACCCCAAAACTATAGCGACAAAATTGGCTACAGCAATTTTGGCTTCAAAGAGCGCATTGTTTTTTTTACTTGTCGACGACTTCGATGAGGGTCGTCTCATAATCAGCAGGAGCCTGGAAGCCGTGGAGGTTCATCACGGTGGCGGCAACGTTGGCGAGCCCAGGTGTCTGGATGTCGGAGCGGAATCTCACTCCTGGGTGGAGACCAGGGCCTCCGATAGCAACAGGGACCTGCAAAGTTCGCAGGCAGGTCAAAACCAAGCGATAAATATCGTCACTTAAAACTGGTCTTACAGGAAGAGCATCAAAGGCCATTGCACTTACTGGCTGAAGCGTATGCGAGGTAAGAATCTGGATGCTACCGCTCTTGTCGAGCATCGGCTGGCCAGCTTTGTTCCTCTTAACCATATCCTCTGCGTTTCCATGATCAGCTGTGACAAGATAGATACCACCAACTTGCTCCACAGCATCCAAGACCATCTGTTTTCAAGGGGAACCAATGATACAGATAAGTAAAAGGCAAATGAGGTAGAATTCAGAGAATTTGTCACTGAAACTGTGCCCCAATTCAACTTTCAGGATATAGATCATGTAAACAAAACATTGAAGTTTCTTGTTTGTTCTCACCTTGACAGCTTCATCGGCAGCCTTGCAAGCAACAACTGTAGCTTCAATATCACCAGTGTGACCAACCATGTCACCGTTTGGCAGGTTAATACGCACCTACAAGCATATAACATGTTATGTAAATTTAAGGGGGCAAACCAAGGATGTCGCGTGTTACACCTTTCCAAATTCCTTACCTGGTCAAACTTCCCACTGAGGATAGCATCCCGAGTTCTCTCAGCAATTTCAAGTGCCTTCATTTTGGGCTGCTCATTGAATGTGATACCACTGTCACTGGGAATTTCTACATACTCTTCCCTGGTCTCGTCAAAGTATCCCGAACGGTTTCCATTCCAGAAAAATGTGACATGGCCAAACTTCACTGTCTCACTGTTATGAACAAATAAAAAGAACTCATAAATACAAATGTGCAGAAACATAGGATAAATTTCGAAGCACAGAACAAACTTTAGACCTCAAAACAACTGAAATAACGGTTTGCAAAAATAATAATTCCCTCACAATTATGAGAATAGGGGAGTCATAAGGTCAATAAACGCTGAATGGACTTTCAGAAAAAAGTACTCAAATGTAGATAATTTCAATTACGGACCCTGTAGTTAAGCTTTGCCCCCAGACAAACTATACTAATAGGTTCCAGAAAGTAAAACAAACCAAAGAAATCACTTTCCTATTTTGGTGATTGATATATGATTGGCAACAAATATAAAGCTTTGCATCTGACTTGTGTATTCACATTTTACACAGTACTTGACCCACATTTGTTTTCAATGGGAGTATGCTAACCTCACATAAGTAATGTTCCATGTAATCAAACACCCGAGTCATGACTAACTAATGACCAGAAATTATAGTATAGAGATGAACATGAAGAACCAAGTGCCTTAGCATTGGAACAAATAGAATGGAAAACTAGGTACTTGCCTGCAAGCGAAGGTGCGGACACCATTCTTCACCAAGTATTCACCAGATGTCCTCTCAATCAAAGGTGGGGAAACAAGGTACTTGCTTGGAAGCTTCAACTCACCATCATATTGAAGCATCCCAGCGTACTTAATTTTTGGTACACGAACACGGTCAAATTTATCAAAATCAGGAAACTCGAGTGCTTTCGCAAGCATAACCATGCGATCAGCTCTGAAATTGAAAGTCACGACTGCATCACCGTCTACTATAGGACCAACCGATTTGCCACTCTCATCAACTATCACAAATGGGGGCAAATACTGATCATTGGCCTTGGGCTCTGCTCTTAGAGTCTTCACAGCTTCAAGTGCATTTTGGAATTTGTGTGGTGCTTCTCCAAGCACCTGGGCATCCCACCCACGCTTGACCACACTCCAGTCATTCTGCAATGCATCAAAATACATGACTTAATTTCACCAGGAAAATGTGTATTTTTCCAACTAAAATATAACACAAAATTGCACCTCACAAAGCTAAACTATAAAATGAGAGTATACCTCGTAGCGGTCCATGGTAACATACATCCTTCCACCACCAGATGCAATCCGTGCATCAACACCCTGCTCACGAAGCTGAGCAAGATCGTTCTCAATTGTCTCTACGAAACCAACACTACTGCCATCCAAAACATCACGCCCATCAGTAAGAATGTGAAGGCGAATTCTTTTTGCTCCCCTCTCACTGGCACCTTTCACAATCAACTGAAAATAAAGTGAAACAAAACAGAGCAATTTAATATTTGACAAATCATCACAAGACCGTCTGGCGTTCATCACAATGATTGCTAAGCTAACCTGCACTTGGTCTAGCCGGGAGTGAACGCCTCCATCACTCAACAAACCAATAAGGTGCAGAGTACCCTTATCAAAAGATTCCTTGATGTAATTGAACCCCTCGTCTTCCCAAATCTTCCCGGAAGCAAGAGCAGCATCAACAAGCTTCGCACTATAGAAATTAAGTATATAATGTAACTTAATTAGCTTTGTTGAAAACAAAATGTGAAAGAAGCATACAAGTGAAACAGAATATAATGGGACAATAGTAATTGATAAAGTCTAGCACATGGTTATGCAAACGACTCAAACAGTCAGACAGCAAACTATGTAACATAACTAAAGCAAAAAAACTAATAAGCATCCACAAGACATGGTTCCTAGCAGAGTTACAAACAATATTGACGACGATGCAAAACTAGAAGACCATATTGATACTATCAAGAATCCAGCTGAAGTCAGGTGTCCTTTTTCACTACTGTATCAGAACTTGTAACAAAAAATTGCACTGCTCGGTACTAACAGCGGAGAATACATATTTCAAAGGGGGAAAAACACATACCCTTGAGCAAAGATTCGGCCAGCTCCAAGAGCATTGTGGCCAACTTCACTGTTGCCCATGTCGTCGTCACTTGGGAGACCAACGGCAGTTCCATGAGCCTTCACTAGTCTCCACTTCTCAGGAGCACCCTAAAACGGAGTTAAGCTTAGTAATTGCTCATCTCAAGCAAAGTTATGCGGTAAAAATTTAGCATGCAAAAAACTACAGTACATTCGAACAAGTTCAGGTTGGATGCAACATATGAATTACGGTAGTAATGTAAACAAACATTGTATCGAGACTCGAGAATTACAGTGTGCACTAGCTACGATTGCACCATATTGACACTATTTTTTATAGTGAAGGGTCCAACATTCACATCAGATTCATCATCATGCTCAAACCAGAGCAACAACTGCAATCAGGATGCTTAATCTACAGCGGGAGTGAGTATGTGACTTAACCACATTAAATCCGACAAAAGGATGCATGCAACCATAATCACATTAAATAGATGAAGGTAATATGTGCAGCTGGGCACAGGTGCGGGTAACCTACATTCTTGAGCGAATCCATGACGGGCGTCTGGGCGACATGGATGCAGTTGTACTGGTCGGGGCTGGCCTCGCCCCATCCGTCGAGCACGACGACGGCCACCGTCTTCCCCTTGGGGAGCGTGGGGTGGTCGGGGAGCGTCCAATTCGTGGTCGCCATCTCCTGCAAAATCAATCAAGCAAACCACCGCACACAAAATCAGGTCACGTGCAGCGAATCCAGGCAGATCTGCGCTAGGCGTCATTAACCGCGCTAAATCACCAGATCGGGACGCGTATCTCGACCGAAATCGATCCCATTAGCACGAATTAAAGCGCCAAGAGCACGAATTAAAGCGTAACAACCCCCTATAACTAATCAAACGACAAAGGCTGTATTTTTCTTCCTCTAAAATTCAGATTCGATGAATAGGACCTGGGCTGTCAGATCCGGCGATTGATCGGAGGAAACTAAAAGGCAAATTTCGGCGAGCTTACGAACGGGGGAGGGGCGTCGTCGAGATCGAGAGGGGCTGTTCTCACCTTTGCTTTTTTTTCTTCGTGTGGTTTGCGGAACAAGAAGAACTTTTGGGAGAGCGGAGTGGCGGAGGATAATAGGCGAAGGCGGGGCGGCCGCGGTATTAATAAGGGGGAGGGACGGGCCACGGAGCCGTGGGGTGCGAATAATTTTAGGGTGTTGGCCAAGAAGATCGTCGGACGGCCCGATCGGCTCTGGGGGCGTCGGGTCGGGCCATCGGACGGCTGAGGAGGTGTCACCGGTCTCTTCGCCTGATTTGGTAGATGCGGTGCGCGCGACGAGATCCGTCCGCCAGTTTTATATTGGACGGTCCTGATGGGGCCGGCTGTCGCGGAGACATGTGGCTGTCACGCCGTCACGAGTCCTAGGCTCTCCACGTCAGATCGCAGGCCTCCTCTTTCTATTACTTTTGATTTTGAAAACTCATCAGGCGTGACGGCGTGCGTGAGCGTGAGGCCGTGAGTTGGATATTCTCTTTGGATGCCGTTTTCAAAATCGAATTCCCATGCTATTTTAAAATGTTTCTCCGCAAGAAAAAATGATTTATTTTTCTGTATTGTTTCTCCAACGGGGGAAGGAGAACCGGGTTCTTTCGTGCTAATAGCCGACCACCTGTGCGATCCCTCGAAAGGACCACCCGGTTGAGCTACGTGCAAGCTTTCTCCGTGATGCGGCGTGGAAAACAGCGTGTTTACAGGACAAGTTTTTGAATCCATGGTGCTGGCCGTGGGCGGCGGAAATTAGGCAAGTCGGAGTTGGCCGGCCGCCGGGGGTCAAGAAAGAGGACTCGCGTCGCTCTCACGCACATGGGTTGGTTGGTCGCTGCACAACAAAACAGTTCGGTCGCTCTTGCGGCCCCGGCGTCCTGGGGCCCGGAAAATCCAGCGACAACCCGTCGATGCGCCCAAAGGCCGGACTCCCTCGCTTTCTCACCGCTCGCGGAACAGATTTCTTCTTCGCGCCAGATTATTAAGAGATGTCAGATCTGTCTTCAAGCTCGGCCGCGGCCGTGAGCGACATGGAGGCGATGATGAAGGAACTTGGTGTGAAGAAAGACGAATTAGAAAATGTGGTGATCGAAGCAGATGAACTTCCTGAGGAGGCTACAAGATGGATGGCTTTAGCTCGCGTCCATACGGATAAATCATATATCCAGTACTGGTTCTTCCGCAATATGCGCGGCATGGGATCTCGCGTAAGAGGTGAATTTTCGCCCGTTGGAAGAAAACCTCTACACCCTTTCAGTTCTCATGCCTAGGTGACTGGGAACGTGTGATGGAGGGGCCTTGGACCTTCAAGGGGGAAAATGTGGTAATCGCATCATATGATGGCTTCACAAAACCATCCATGATAGAGATGAACAAGGTGGAGATATGGATCCAAATCCATGATCTGCCGAAAGGGTACTTCTGCAAGATAAAATCGCTGTCCTCGACAGCGGGAGAGTTTATTTTTGCCAAGTCAAAATCTCAAGACTTTGAAGGTAACTTTTTCAGAGTCCGCATAAGAATAGATGTTGACAAGCCGCTCAAGAACGCGGTGTCACTCCTCATCAAGAGGCAGAAGGGGGTAGTCAGGGAGATTTATAGGGGCAAATATGAAAGACTCCCAGATTGGTGCGTTGTGTGTGGTCATCTTGGTCACAAGTATGAGTGCGGCAATGGCATCCATCTTCCTGAAGCATTGGCGTTCAAGGATCTGCAGACCTCTTGGTTCAAAGGACCAGCGCGTGGTCCAGGTGAAGGAAGGGGCTCGGGAGGCGGCCGAGGCAGGGGTCGATCGAGCACTGGAAAAGGACGAGGGAGAGGGAATACCCAAGAACAGCAGCCCTACGAGGATGACCTCTCAATGGGCAAGCCTGGTGACTTTGAGATGGAGTACGCTGATAAAAACAGAAAAGGGGAGCCCCGCAAGCCCCAGCCACGATGAAGCCAACCACTAATCTTCAGCTAGAGGGCAACACGCTGCTTGCCCTTCCGCCTCCACCTGTGCTGGCGAGCCCCTCATCAAAACAAGAGTCAAAGAGGAACAAACAAACTCCACAGATAACTGAGAAGGGGAAGGATAAGAATTCAACAACAAACAAACCGTCTGATGCGCGATTGGCGGGCCCCAAGTGGGGTCGCACCCCGCGCAATGAGTATACTATGTTGGAACTATCGTGGGGGTGGCAAACCCGTGACAGTTCGAGAGCTTCGTGAGTATGCCTCCTCTATACGTTGTATCTTAAAAACTCAAATATAGGGATCTCGTGTTGAGAATTTAGTAGGTACTCTTGGTTTTGATAAAAGCTATGCAGTTAGTAGTTCTGGTAGAAGTGGGGGTCTTGGGATTTTTTGGAAAGATTCAATAAAAGTTGAAGTTCTTGGTTATTCAGAGTATCATATTGATGTTGCTGTGGAGGATATTGTTGATGTACAAATACGAGTGACTTTTGTCTACGGGGAGGCATAAGTCAACCAAAGGTATAAAACGTGGGACACGCTCCAAGGAATTACAGGAGTAAGCACCTTACCATGGATAGCCATGGGTGATTTCAATGAGGTAATCCATGCCCATGAGAATGATGGAGTTGGTAACCGAAGTCGGGCATAGATGGACTCGTTTCGCGATGCCTTGGATACGTGTGGGCTAACAGACATCGGATGACCTATACTAGGGTTCGGCTGGATAGAGGCGTTGCTAATTCAGCCTTTGTCTCGACCTTCCCTAATGCAAATATTGAACATAAAAGTTCAGCATCGTCCGACCATATCCCTATCTTGCTCCGATTGCACGATGTGCATGCATGCAGCCGGGGCCTCCGCTCCCTTTAAATACGAGTTATGCTGGGAACGCGACGAGGCACTGCCCGCAATAGTGGAGAATGGATGGGCGTGTGTGACAGGAGATTCGGTGGATTGTTTGCATGCAAAGCTGCAGGGGTTGTCGGCTGACCTGACCAATTGGGAGTATACACACTTCGGCAGCGTGAGACAAGAAATAGACCAACTGAAATGCCAACTGTAGATCATGCGCCAGATCCCAGGCCGCACAGGGCCATGCCATGCAGAGTTGAAAGTGACTGATAGGCTCGTTGAATTATTCCACCAGGAGGAGATTTTATGGCGCCAAAGAGCAAGACTTGATTGGCTGGCTCATGGAGACAAAAGCACTTACTTTTTCCACCTCAGAGCAAGTAGACGAAGAAGGAAAAATCAAATTAAAGCAATGCAACGTCCAGATGGGCAGATGACTATAGCGGTGAGATGGAGGCACTGACCATGTCGTTTTATAAGGAGTTATATACCTCGGAGGGGACTCATAACATGGATCAAGTGCTACATACAGTCCCAAGAAAGGTAACTCCAGAGATGAAACAAGTCTTAAATGCACCGTATAGTGTAACGCCTTCGATGCGGCTATATCTCCTAAGTGTCGAGGCACGACTTAGAGGCATAACCGCATTGAAAGCAATGTCGCAAGTTAGGCAATCTTCACAACATCCCATGTAATATAGATAATAAAAGGGGAGATACATAGTTGGCTTACACTCGCCACGTCAATCAAAGTACATAAATAGCATTACATCATCCAATCACTCATGACCCGGCTACGGTGCCAAAATAAAAGATCAACCCGACATGCGACACGGTCCCGATCGCCCCAACTGGGCACCACTACTGATCATCAAGGAAAGACACATAGTAACGGCGTGAGTCCTCGTCAAACTCCCACTTGAGCTCAAGTGTGTCATCTAGAACAGAGTCATCAGGCCCTGCATCTGGTTTGGAAGTAATCTGTGAGCCACGGGGACTCAGCAATCTCGCACCCTCGCGATCAAGACTATTTAAGCTTATAGGTAAAGCAAGGTAAAATATGTGGAGCTGCAGCAAGCGACTAGCATATATGGTGGCTAACCTGTTCGCAAAAGAGAGCGAGAAGAGAAAGGCAAAGCGTGAACGAGTAACTAAAGAACAACCTGCGGCAAGCATTACTCCAACACCGTGTTCACTTCCCGGACTCCGCCGAGAAGAGACCATCACAGTAACACACACAGTTGATTCATTTTAATTAAGTTAAGGTTCAAGTTATCTACAACCGGACATTAAAAAATTCCCATCTGCCCATAACCGCAGGCACGGCTTTCGAAAGTTTAAATCCCTGCAGGGGAGTCCCAACTTAGCCCATGACAAGCTCTCACGGTCAACGAAGGAATAGACCTTCTCCCGAGACATTCCGATCAGACTCGGTATTCCGGTTCTACAAGACACTTCGACAAGTTAAAACAAATCCAGCAACACCGCCCGAATGTGCCGACAAATCCCGATAGGAGCTGCACATATCTCGTTCTTAGGGCACACTCAGATTGTCCTAGGTACGGGTAGGCCAGCCCAGAGTTGCCCCTGGTGGCCACCGGCAGCTGACAGGTGGACCAACACTTAGAGGAGCACTGGCCCGGGGGGGGGGGTTAAAATAAGATGACCCTCGGGCTCCGGAAACCCAAGGGAAAAAGAGGCTAGGAGGCAAATGGTAAAACCAAGGTTGGGCATTGCTGGAAAAGCTTTATTCAAGGCGAACTATCAAGGGGTTCCCATTATCACCCAACCGCATAAGGAACGCAAAATCCGGGAACATAACACCGATATGACGGAAACTAGGGC